CCTGGGCGACCGGGAGCTGGCGGGGGAGGCTGCCCAGTGCATAGCTGTCAGCCGCCAGGACTCCAGGGGGACGTCACAAGCGATCCTCAGCCCGACCCCCCAGACCGTCAGACCCCCCCCCCACAGAGATCAGAGCTGACGTGACGGAGGCAGCAGGGGGAGCACCAACATGTTGTCCTCCACACAGAAAAGCCAGTGCCTCAGTTTACCCAGAGCAGGACAGAGGACGCCTGGTGAGGACCCCACGCTGCCCACCTCCCTCCGTGGCAGCATCGCACGCCTGGGAATACATCAGCGTCCGCGTGTCGGGGTGCAGGGCTCACCTGGGGAATGGGGGCCAAGCCAATGGGCAGCAGAGTCCCCTCAGGTGTTACCGGACTCAGAAGATGGACAGGCGGGCGCTGTCTGTGCAGAGCTCGCCACGCTCCCTCTCCACCCCCGCCAACGCCACGCTGTCTCCTGCCTCCACACGCCTCCCCCCCCCCCCCCCGTGGAGGAGCCCCCAGCATGGAGGCGACCTGCCCTCCTCACTGTCACTGAGCAACCACAGCTCAGGCACCAGGTCCCTCACAGGGACCCCGGGCACGTGGCCGGGCAGTGGGCACGTGGAGTTGACAGTGTGTACGGGTCCGCATGGCGATCGAACTACTCTGTGTCCCAAACGTCAGCAAGACTTGTGAACGTCTTACGTACAAGAGCGTTAAAAACACGCTTTGGAGTCCCAGGGGCCGAGACACTTAGCCCTGGGCGCAGCGTTCTCTCAGGGAGCATCGGGGGAGGCTCATCGGGAAGGCGGGAGTGCGTGCAGGCTCGGGCAGCCCGGGGACACGCAGACACAGCTGGTTCTCACGGACAGCAGGTCACGGACCAGACACGCGGCAGCCCGCGCCTGTCTCCAATGTCCAATGTCAGGTTCAGAGGTGAAGTCTGGCCCGGCCGGTGTGGCTCAGCGGTTGAGCATCGACTTATGAACCAGGAGGTCAGTGTTTGATTCCCGGTCAGGGCACAGGCCCGGGTTGTGGGCTCGATCCCCAGTGCGGGGCATGCAGGAGGCAGCCGATCCATGATTCTCTCTCATCACTGATGTTTCTATCTCTCTCTCCCTCTCCCTCTCCCTTCCTCTCTGAAATCAATAATAAAACATGTATTTTTTAAAAAAGGTAAAGTCTGTCGATTTGTAGCAAAGCCATCACGCAGTTTCGAGGATTTTGAATTAGTCACGTGTTTCGACATCCCTGGCACTAGGTCAAAAACACACACTTAGCAAACATTTCCATCTTTATCTGAAGCTGTCGTTTGCTGGGCACCTATGGAGAAACCTTGCAGAGACTGTAGAACACGTAATAAAAACACCGAAATCTGAACTATGAGGTTCGGCGCTGACGCCGTAACCAAGGACACACGTGCCGTCCACACTCCACCTCGAGGAGACAACGCCCGGGGCCCCGGCCCTGTTACCTGAGTGCTTGTTGGTTTTGTTCTGTCGGCTTTTGACTTGCTCCGTCCACAGCGTCGGGTAACGCGAGGCGATATCTAACAAAGCAAACGAAGGGACCGTCATTTTTAGTTCATCTTGAAAATACAGTCTCTCAAAGACCTCAGCAGGGAGCCTAAGAGCCAAAAACATCAACATCATGAGTACATGTTGTACGTTTTTAAAAAGAGTTACGAGATAACTCTGTGCACGCGACAGCAAGAAACCATCGTGTGCATTTAACATTTTCAGAATATTTTCTTCTCTCTTCATCCAAAAGTATAAATAAACGTCGGAAGAATCCAGGCAGACGTGGGCTTTATGCGAACCGTCCTGGGAGGCCAGACGGACGTTCACACGGCGTGCGGGTCGCACTCAGCGGGAAGGTCCAACACAAAGTGAGGCGTGATTCCTACGCAAAGCGTTCTGGGAGCCCGTGTGTGGGCACTTGGTTAACAGGCATAAAGGAGCATTTAAAGGCTGGTCGGTCACGTCACGGCCTGAGAACCTCCCGGAAGCAGACCGGCCAGGTCCAGCCCCGCTTTGCCAGGCACCGGCCTCATGACCTCGGACAAGTCCCCTGTGTTCTCGCCTGTGACACGGGATTCTGGGGGTCCAGGGGCCGTGCCTCAGGGCACACGGGGAGCCCACAGGCTCTGCCCACGTTGGTTGTTATTATTACTTATTTAAGCTATTGTTTGCAAAGCAGTGCAATTCCACCTTCACTCTCAGATTCATTTACGCGAGTCCCTTATATTGTCTTCACACCCTGACCCTTTGACCTGAAGATCTGGGGCGCACGGCAAGCACCCTAGACAGCGCAGGAGCGCCCGAGAGTGGGAAGCCCAGCTCCACGTGACGACAGGTGCAGGGCCCCTGAGACGCCTCCTGGGACGTCACGGAGCGTGTCCGGCCCCCTGGGGCGTGAACGCGACGCGGGAGGTGTGACACGTGAACGGGCCCGCCATACGCCACCGCGCTCTTCGGAAACATCTGTTTTATATCGTCCACGTTTCAGAACTTCGGCGCACAGCGTTTCACTAAGACGACCCTCGTGCTCTGCTACAGGTCAGCGCGTGGAGCCCTCAGGTCCACGGGGTCAGTGGGTGCTCACGGCGTGGGGGTGGCCCCGATGCCGCTCAGCGTGGACATCCGCAGCAGCGCCCTCCCCCCCA